TGGGGTTGCTGAGCTGGCAGGATGGGGGCCTATGCTGCTGGGGGGAATCCTTGCCAAGCTCCCCTTATTAGGGGAGCTGCCTGAGAGTGAAATCAGCACTAAGGAAAGCAGAGCCAAGCAAGAAGTGTGGGGTGGAGAGAGACAACCACTGATAACATCCATGGGCACCTGGACCCAGCCATGTCTGAAGCCATTCACCTTTACAGTTAGTTAAATGAGACAAAACCAAACTCACTGCCATCAAGTTGATTATGACTCATAGTGATCTCCATTGTGTTTCCAAGGCTGTAAATCTTTACAGAAGCAGACTGCCTCATCTTTTCTCTGTGGAGCAGCTGGTGGGTTCAAACCACTGACCTTTTGGTTGGCAGCCAAACACCTTAACCACTACACCACTCCTTAAGTGAGATAAATTATTCCCTTATTTGCTTAAACTAGTTTGAAGTGCAGCTGAAAGCATTCTTCCTAATCTACCTGGTCCGCAATAGTGGACAGTGGCAAGGGACATGGGTGAAATCTGAGTTGACTTTCCAATTCACCCAAAGCCCTGAGCAGAAGACCCAGTCTGACTCTGCGGTCCTCATGAACTGTGGACTGCTCTGCAGCAATCCCCTGCGCATCTCCCCGGGAGCAGATCTCTGGCCTTTCACCAGACTCTAAGTCAGCAAGCCGCTTAGTGACCCCAGAACCCAGGCACCTCCTCCCTTAGGGCCCAGTGGATGAGTGGTGTGTGTGTGTGTGTGGGGGGGGAGGTGGCTCCTCCTCTACTCTCAAGGTTGCCTTTGGATTCAGGCAGGTTCAGGTTTGAATCCCAGCCCCATCAGTCCCTGTGTGACCTTGGTTCCCTTTCTGTAGCAGGACTGTGCAGAGGGGCTCACATGATTGCAGGTACCTGGTGTGTGTAACAAGGCCATGTGGGGCATTGCCAGAAGCACCAGTTCCTTCCTCTGTACTCCAGTGTCACAGTCCCTCATCCTCCACCGCCTCTCTCCATGCTGACTTCAAAAGAGCTCCAGCTGCTTGGAGCTGGAAAAAGCCCTGCTGCCTCTCTGGCTGCCCACTCAACCCCCTGCCATGGGTTCTGCCCCCTCGGTTGGGGAGACTGCACTCTCCAAGAAAGCTAATGGCTTCCCCTGCCTGGCACCAGGACATGTCCCAGTCCCCCGCCTGCACAACTTGCACTCTCAGCTTTGGAACACTGTGATCTCTGTAACCATGTGGTCTCACGCGTGCACATGTGTGTGTGTGTGTGAGTGTGGTGGAGGGGTGGAAGAGAGGTGCAGGAGGGTTACGTCATGTAGCAGAGATCTCTGGGGTCTCTGATCCTGGACCGTCACAGTTGGCTGGTTTTGGAGAGGTTACTCTCCCTTTCTGAGCCTCAGTTCCCTTATCCATAACATCTCTTAGAGATGATTAAATTATTTAAGTAATTGCTTTGTGTTTCACAGCATACAGAGGTGGCAGCTGTTCACAGTTGGCGTTGAATATTTGTTTTTTTACTTTCATTTAGGCTAGCTCTTCTTTCCCAAGATTCAGCCCC